GCTAGCCTTCAAGGCAATATATTCGTATGGAAGAATGAAGCAGTCATTATCGAGCCCATAAACTCTAAATGTTCAAACCCTTCAGCAGAAATTTGAGCGGCTATTCAGGTTTCTGGCTTGTTGAATCGCCGCTTCCCAACGTCTAAAGAACTTCTAGAGAGATCCCTCGGAATTAACGGATGAAATATGATTCCATTAAGCATCTATGTGGATTGCAACGTGTCAGCCCCACAACTAATTAACCCTACTTTATATATATATATATATATATATATATATATGTATGTATGTATGTATATAAGATAGAGAGGCCAATTAATGTACATGACCTTACTCAAACAGTATGCTAAAATCATCAAAAAATAACCATAAAATTCAAGGAAAAACGTAGATACTACCAGGAAGTTGGAGAGTCATCCTCAAAGAAGGTATTATATGTATGTTTGTGTGCATATGTGTGTGTGTGTGTGTGTGTAAAATTTTACTCAGTGTATATGTGGAGAGTAGCATAAAGTAATATAATACTGTGTATCATAGTTGTTGATTGTTTGCAATATTATCCCTCAAGTATTTACTGCATCTAAAATGATTATTATGGTTGGGATTTCCAAACTAAAACATTTGGCTTTACCTTCACTTATGAAAACCATAATCAGAAAGAGTTTGTTGATCTTGTAAAGCAGCCCCACAAAGAACAAGATGCATGTTTGATACAGGCTCAATGAGAAGTGTTAGCAACTACTAAAGTGACTACCTCTAAAGGTTCAAATGTGTGTTATCCACACTTTTTTCCATGTCTCTTGATTATTCCCTATGAAAACCCTTTTCCTGGAAGTAGTTGAGTTTACACCCAGGTCTACTGGCTCACATTTAAGGCCCTTTCATGTAGATAGATTTGTAAGTTAGCGGGGATTTACCTATCTGATCATCCTATTCAACTGAAGTATATTGGGGGAGGATGTCACAGGTGTTCCTGATCTTTTTATTGAGTTGCATTCCCTTATCCACTAAGAGATCAATAGGCTATGACAGCTTCTTCACAGCCATTTAGTATTCTCAGTGAAGCAGTGACTCTTCCATGAAAGCCCTGAACATTAGGAATGCAGGAAATATATTAAGTTTTTGTTTTTGTTCTAGACCTCAGTACGGCTATTACCATAAACAACATTTTAAAATAAGAACAAAATAGAAAAAAAATTAAGAAGAAAAAAATTCAACTCAAGAAGATAAAGACACAAAACTGACCATGTATATCTAAAGCATACCATTCTAATGAAAGAATGTTCTCCAGGTTCACTTACTCCAAGAATTTCTTCATTTGCCAAGACAGTTCCAAGGCAGGACATTAATTTATAGGATCTGCAACTTAATTAAAAGGCATGGACTGGTATATTGTGTTAAAAATTTTAACACGCACAAACTCACACACACACATATATTATTCTAAAAGTACTCAATAATCCATACCTGGTATGCTAGCCCTTATATCAATAGTTGAATAAAAATCCACTGTGCATAAATAACACTTAGGTCCA